TTTTGCGGTACGCGGGCCTCTCACTGTTGTGGCCTCTCCCGTTGCGGAGCACAGGCTCTGGATGCTCAGGCTCAGCAGCCATGGCTCACAGGCCCAGCCACTGCGTGGCATGTGGGATCTTCCCGGACTGGGGCACGAACCTGTGTCCCCTGCATCGGCAGGCGGACTCTCAACCACTGCGCCACCAGGGAAGCCCCCGTTTGTCCATTTTTTAATGTTTTGTTGATTTTGCTCATTTTTTAAAGCTCCCACCTAATGTTTGTTTACTTGATGAAGGCATGATCTCAGGCTCAAGTAGTTCTAGTAGGGAAAGTAAATCAATGATTTATATTGAACTTTAAAAAAAATTAATTCCTCGTTACTGCCACTAGGAGGCTTAGCAAGTGTAATCAGGTTTCTTGACAAAGCCAGTGTGCATAAAAACAACCTTTTTTTTTGGTAAGGTATAATTGATATATAATGTTATATTAGTTTCAGGTGTACAACATAATGCTTTGGTATTTGTATATATTGTGAAACGATCACCATAGTAAGTCCTGTTATTATCTGTTAGCATACACAGTTACAATTTTTTTTCTTGTGATGAGAACTTTTAAGATTTATTCTCTTAGCAACTTGCAAATATGCAGTACAGTATTATTAACTGTAGTCACCATGCTGTACATTACATTGCCATGACTTACTTTATAACTGGAAATTTGTACCTTTTGATCCTTTCACCCATTTCGAGCACCTCCGACACACCACCTCTGGGAGCCAACAATCTGTTGTCTGTATCTATGACCTAGGTGTTTTTTTTGTTTTTTTCGTTTGTTTTCTGGTTTTGTTTTTTTTTTTGATTCCATATGTAAGTGAGAATCATATGTTATTTTGTCTTTCTCTGTCTGACTTATTTCAATTAGCATAATGTCCTCAAGTCCATCCATGTTGTTGCAAATGGTAAGATTTCATCCTTTTCTATGACAGAATAATATTCCATTGTATATGTATACCACCTTTTTTTAATCCATTCATCCATCAATGGATACTTGTTTCCATATCTTGGCTATTGTAAATAATGCTGCATTGAACATGGGGGTGCATATATCTTTTTGAATTAGTTTTTGTTTTCTTTGAATAAACACCCAGAAATAGAATTGCTGGATCATATGGTAGCTCTGTTTAAAAATTTTTTGGAGGCACCTCCATACTGTTTTTCCTGCTGGCTGCACCAATTTACATTCCCACCAGGGTTCCCTTTTTTTTTAATATCCTTGCCAGTACTTGTTTTTCTTTTTTTTAAATTTTATTTATTTATTTTTGGTTGCATTGGGTCTTCGTTGCCTCTTGCAGGCTTTCTCTAGTTGTGGCGAGTGAGAGCTACTCTTCTTTGTGGTGTGCGGGCTTCTCATTGTGGTGGTTTCTCTTGTTGCAGAGCATGGGCTCTAGGTGCGCGGGCTTCAGTAGTTGTGGCACGTGGGCTCAGTAATCGTGGCTCATGGGCTGTAGAGCGCAGGCTCAGTAGTTGTGGCGCGCGGGCTTAGTTGCTCCACGGCATGTGGGATCTTCCCAGACCAGGGCTCGAACCCATGTCCCCTGCATTGGCAGGCGGATTCTTAACCACTGCGCCACCAGGGAACCGCTTGTTTTTCTTTTCTTTTTGATGATAGCTACTCTAAAAGGTATAAGGCGATTTGTCATTGTGGTTTTGATTTACATTTCCCTGATGATTAGTGATGTTGAACATCTTTTCATGTACCTGTCAACCACTTGTATATATTGATCTCTTAATGATAATAGAAAAAATACATTCGAAATCCAAGAAGAGAGCATATTTAACAGGGGTAATGGGGTGGTATTTGAGATAAATCTTCAAAATAAGAATCCATTGCTATTCTGTGATGGCAGTTGAGTGTAGGGGAAACATTCCAGGTAATGGAAACAAAGTACTGATCAGTAGGGGAGATGAACCTTTGAAAAGAAGGTACAAAAAGTATATGTAATGCAATCTTTTTTGAGGATAGGATGAGTAAATGGATGGATGGAATAGTTCTGGAAGAATGACCAAGAAACTGTTGGCAGTGGTTTCACTCTAGTGCCTGGGGATACCAAGGCAAAATATTGTTTTGTTTCCTTTTTTCCAAGGACATTAAGAAAAGAAAGAAGAAAACTGTATTTAAAGACCTTTAGAGCTTAAAAATCACAGCTCTGGGTTCTTTACAGTATTTGATGCTGCTTCTACATAACTAATTTTGATTTCAGGGGTAGGAGGGTGGAGGTGAGGTGAGAAGATGAAAGAAATTTTTGTTATCTAAACAGTAAACAGGTTATGGGTTGGACTTAAAAATTTTTTTTTTTTTTTTGTGGTACGTGGGCCTCTCACTGTTGTGGCCTCTCCTGTTGCGGATCACAGGCTCCGGATGCGCAGGCTCAGCGGCCATGGCTCATGAGCCGAGCCGCTCCGCGGCATGTGGGACCTTCCCAGACCGGGGCATGAACCTATGTCCCCTGCATCAGCAGGCGGAATCTCAACCACTGTGCCACCAGGGAAGCCCTAAAATGTTTTAAATCTTTTTTTTTTATTGCTGTTTTGGGGGATTTCTTGAGAATGTTCATAAAAATAAGCATTCATAACTGTTTACATAGAGTTAAAATAAATTAGGCAAATGAGTAATGCCTTTTATAAATTTATTTAAAAAATATTATTAAGTAAAAATACATTGGGGAGTGAATAGGGTAGGAATTTTCAGGAGGCAAGATCACCAATTTGACCTTAACATTTTTGTAAATTTTGGCTACAAATCTGTGGTTTTTAAAGGACTTGTCAACTAAATGAGAAGTTTTCATTACTGTGGGATACCGTAGCAAGAATAAGCCATTTTCTGATAATTTTGTGATTCCTATCTAATATGTTATTGAGTAAAAGAATATAAGAATTCCTTAATTAGGATACTAGAGTAAACCGTGTTCTCAGCACAAGTACATCATGGCTGATAATTCTTTTCCTGACATTTAGGGAATCAATTAAACTTTATCTTTCCACATTAGTGGACTTAGTGTTATCTGTTAATTAACGCAAGATGTCAGTGCTGGCTTTCATCTTTTATTTTTGAAAGCTAACTTTTAAGACAAACCTGTTATTTAATGTTTTTTCTTTGTGATTTCAGTAAACTGCTCCTAATTTGTTAGGAATAGAGAGAAAATAGTAGATGAATGATGGAAATTTTTCACCAAATGAAGGAAATACAGGTTGTTATAGATTCAATTGCCATTTAAGAAAGAAAGAAAGACCTGTGGTTCAAGCCTAATTTCCTTCAGGGAAATTTTTTCATGTTTCTCAAATAATAAATTTTTGTATTCTGACATTTTCCCCTGTTTAATGGCAGTTATTCTTTTTTTTTTTTTTTTTTTTTTTTAAGGTATGGACTCCGAGAGTTTGTGGTGATCGCCCCTGCCGCAAATAATGATGCTGTTCTCAGTGAATCTAAGTGCAATCTTCTTCTGAGTTCTGTGTCTGTTGCTTTGGGAAACACTGGCTGGTAGGTGGACATTTCGAAAAACCTTGAGATGAGTTTAAGAACTATTCTAAATTATAATTTATGAGGGAAAATGATTACTGTTAGGTTTTTGATTATGATTAAGATTAGTACTTTGTACATTATTATATTGGAATAAGGTATATAAGGACAAACTCAACAAAACCTTTAGGGAAAGCATTTCTGAAGGGAAACTTACTGAAATATTACATGAATATTTAAAATGGAGAATAAATGGTATATTTTTGTATTTTGCTTCCAAATGTTTATTTAAATTTTGGTGCAAAATCTAATTTTAAAACTTGATGACAGAGCATCGCCTTGTTCAGCCTCAGCTAGGAACATGCATTCAGGTAACTCAAATTTTTTGTTTCTCTGCACATGTCTTCAAATGCTTTGAAAGTGCTACGAGTATTGATTTTGAGATTACAAATAGATTTTAGTGAGTAGGCTAATTTGCGGTTATGGAAATCTTTGAATAAGGAGGAGAACTATGTCCTCAAATGATAAAGTACAAAATAATTCACCACTAGTGTGGGTTTAATTTATATTGCTTAATACCTGTGAATCAAGTTTTATTATGATCTTGGAAAGCCTCATATGATAGGATCACTTTTATTCAAGAAAATTTTTATTCTGCTTTTTTATGACTTTCAGCCATTTTAAAATAGTTTTCTGACTACAAAGTGCCACTAAGTGATAATTTCTTCAGTTTATTAGTGTAAGGAGAAAAGGAACTAAGTGTTTTTGTTTTAAATATAAGTCTGTGGAGTATTCCTTGTTTAGTGCTTTTAAATAGTTGAGATTAAAATAATGTAATAGTGGAAAAACTTGAGATTTAGGAGTTATTCAGTGTTTAGTAAACTTACAGTCTATTCCTTTTTAATTATGCCCTATAGCCAGGTGCCACTCTTCGTGCAAATTCATCAGAAATGGCGAAGAACGTATGTGGGAGAATGTCAGGGTCCTGGTGTCCGAACTGATTTTGAAATGGTTCATCTTCGAAAAGTGCCAAATCAGTACACTCATTTATCAGGTCTGCTGGATATCTTCAAATCAAAGATTGTGAGTTGGCATTGATATTTTCAGTCTTATAAAAGCAGTAATTTGGTAATTTTATCGATTACATAGAAATATTTCTAATGTTGAAATGTAATTACTTAGAAGAAAGATGTAATTGACTACATAAATTACTGTGTTGTTTCAACAAAGAGTCCAATTAGATTTTTAGTGTACTAATGCTCTGATTTTGTTTGTTCAGTTTGTTAACATTTATCCCCTACGTTATTAACTCTTTATACTCCTTTTCCTCTAATGAGTAATGTTGCCAACTTCACCACATGAGTGAGCTTCAGCATAGTTGCTTGTTCAGGGCTCTGACTATGAGTAACTGAGATGTGAACTCTTTGGGTTCTGAATTGCTTTTTTTCCCCCAAGGGTCTATTTAATTTGATGTTTAAGATTAATCAGTCTTATATTCTGTGACTGAGAACAGCAGGGCTGAATTGGATGTGCTCAGTATATCTTTGGTGTTTTTTAAAAACACTATCACAGAGATATGGATGATTTGCCTGTGCTACTCTGGGGGAAGAACTAGGGTCTAGATTGAGGAGCTATTTGTGAATACCTCTAGAAAAGAGAGCAAAACAAGGTAAGTAAGTGGTGGAAGGGATTCTCCACTTAGAGAAGTAGTTCCCTTGAGTGATTAAGTTGACATCCGTTACACTAAAAGTGATCAAACTTGATTAACAAACTGATATTAGATATCTCCTGGTATGGTACATTGAATAGGATATATCATCTGTGTTGCATTCCTGCTAAAAATGTTTAACATAAATCGAAACATGAGGAAACAATCACATATTTCCAAAATGAGCCATATTTTATAAAGTAAAGCCCAGACTCTTTAAAAATGTCAGTATCATGATAGGCAAAACAAAGGTTGGGAGCTGTTTAGCCTAAAGGAGACTGAAGTAACATAACATGCATGATCCTTGATCAAAACAAAATAGCCACAGAGGACGCAATTGGGACAGTTGGGGCAATTTTAATATGGACTATATGTTAGAAAATAGTATCAATATTAAACTTCTTGAGTGTGATAACCCTTGTTCATAAGAATTACATGTTAAGTATTTAGGGGTGAATTGCCATGATGCCTACAACTTACTTTCAGAGGTTCAGCCAAAAAAATTATTTATGTAAATATATGATAGTATGTGCGTGTATCAAAATGTTAATTGGTGAGCTTGGTGAAAGTCATACCGGTATTCATTACGCTAGCTTTGCAACCTTTCTGAAGGTTTGCAAATTTTGAAAAGGAAAAAAATGTGAGAAAAAACGCTGAAATGTCTTTTTTAACATACATTGTTTGTAGAAAGATATTTAGGATTAGAATTTAATTTCATAAAAAATATGTTTTCAATTTTGAGGCCATAAATAGCAGGGTGGTAGGATTATCACCACCCAGATAAATCCGTTTGATATTTTTTAAAAAGTCTGCATATACTGGGTTAAGAAATTTAAGTATAAACTTCTCTATACCCTTAGTCCCTTTCCTCAAAATAACTATTGTTAGCTGTTTCTTGTGATTATCTCTATTAAAAAAAGCATAGAAGCATATCTTTTAGAAAGTTCCATGTCTGTATGTAACTTTTTTTCAGAACCTTTCTGGACTCTGAAATGCTTTAAGTACTGCTTAATTCTACACGTGTTGCTTTGAGAAATTTTTGAAAAAGTCAAGTATGCGTTATTTCTGCCCCATTAGTTTTACTTTGTTCTCACCAGAAGTCTTCAATTATATTTAATTATTTTAGATCAAATTCTAGTCAGATGCAAATATTAATGCTTTATTCCTTTTCTTAAAAAACATTAGTGAACGTTATTTTCATGGATCTTTTATGTCACTCTTTTATGTTACTCAATTTCTCTTTACTGAAACTGGGGACCACCTTGATCTGTGGAGCCTGACTTTCATTATGACTATTTACTAATTGTACTTAAAAAAAAAGTGTTCTTAATCAGTTTATCACATCATCTGTCAGAACTTTCACAAACCTCTTGTCTAAATATGAAACATTTCTCAAAGTTGATTTGATAGAGTTGAACTTAAGATAATTGAGACCTGGTTTGGGTACTTCAGTTGTTTTACATAGTTAAAGCTACCCAATATGTGGCTCTCTTATACTTTCTTTATAAAGCTATCTTTATAAATATTACTCTTTAAATCTACTAGAAGTGTTTTAAGGCACTCACCCTCCACTAGCAGCTTATTTCATTTTCACATGGATCTAATTATTAGAAAAGGCTTCATTGGCAGGGTGGCAGCAGAGGGTGGTTGTCCTTGGAATCACATAAAATTTAAGTTTAAATCCTCTTTTGCCATATAATCCTCTAAGTATTTGAAAACTCTCTCATACCCTAGTCTTTCCTTTTTCAGTTTAGACATTCTTCATTCTATCAGATGTTCCTTATATTTCATAGTTTTATATTCTGATTGTTGTTTTGGATATTTGTCTTTTTTAGAACTACATTTCTTCATGTTCTGGGGAAATTTTGTTTGCAGGCTCATTTTGAATGAAGGCTTTATTTACAGTTTTTAACTTTCTCTCCCATCCTCTCTAGTGGTTTTGTAATTTTGTGGTTGCTCCTTACCTGCAGAATATTTCAGACACTGGTCTTAAAATGGTGTTTGGAGCCTTTTGCTCCATATTGATATTGGGGTATTGCACATTGAGTCTTGGACTCATTGGATTGCTTGCTTGGGTCATGAGAGTGGGTTTGTCCCCCGCTCACCCAACTTTCCTTAGCCCCATACCTTCCAACAAAGCCACTGCATGAAGCAGGAGTGCCCTGCCCCAGCGTCTGCCTTAAGCCGAGAGTCTTACGGTACCCTCATTCTGGGCGGAGTACTTTTGGTTCCATTTAATGCAGTCTGTAATCCTGGCTCTCACTGCCTTCGTCTGCATGTGGAACTCAGCAAGCATATGCCTTGAACCCCATTTAACACTTTGGATTTTCTGTACCTTTTATAAGACCCACAAAGATATTCATGTCATGTTTGGTCCTAGACATTTCTTTTTGGTCATCTCTTTCTGTATTTGTCTATATTGCTATGTGACTGGAGCGGAGGTTATGTGTCAAAGTGACCTTGTTATGGTTTCTAGATCATTTACACCCAATTACAGGTGAATGCTCATTTGATATCTAGACCTGAGTAAAAAATAAATATTCCTGACCAGCCAGAATCTTACCTTGCTTGTCTAGGACACAGCAGCCCAAAACTGAATTATTCTCTTTTTTTTTTGGCAGCTACCTTATTTTGTGACTTGAGATTGAGTTTGTATTCAGTTAAAGTTACTAATGACTCTGGAAACTGGGTAGATATGCAGAATACTATTGAATCTACATTTTCACAAGCTTACTAGGTCATTCCTATGCATATTTAGGTCCTATTTCACATTAATATAGGTTAACCATTATTAAGGGAAGCTGAAATTGTGGGATGTTTGGATGATATTATTAATTTTTATGATTTTTAATGAATATAAAGATAGATCTAAATTTTCTGATTCATTAATATAAACTACATGAGTGGCCATTTGTCACAGTCTAAAATTCTGGTTAAATATTTAAGACTGGCTTTAATTTGAGTTTATTTTCATTTAAAAGAAAGAAAAGACATCATCTTCTCAAACCTAGTGTTATACTTTATATAATAGTTTTACCTTATTTAAAAAATGAGTCACATTTTTTTCCACATTCAACATGGCTGAAGAGAATAGTAAGAAATTTGTTTGTATAATTAAAATTGTATAAGATATTTTGAAAGAGCACTTTACATAATAAAATTTAATATCTCTTTTCCTGGTAGTAGTTTAAACAGCTTTATTTTAATGTAATTTGCTCTCTGGCATTAATTCATCTCTTGAGCTTTTAAGCTGTGAGAATTTCTCCCATGAAAATGATTTCCTAAATTCTGCACCTTTGGCTCTAATAACTTAGTGACTTTGTTTTCCTTTTTAATGGCTAGAATATCATACATTTTTCATGGCTAGAATGTGCGTGCCATATCTAACACTGTAATCTGAAAATCCACATTTCATGAAGGTAGTAATTTATCCATTCCAGTAGTTTGAAATTTGGTTCTGGTATTTACAAGGGTACTAACATTTACATGGTATTGTCTTTGCATTTATTTCCTAGGGATGCACTTTAACTCCATTGCCTCCAGTTAGTATTGCTATACGGTTTACCTATGTACTTCAGGATTGGCAGCAGTATTTTTGGCCTCAGCAGCCTCCAGGTGAGATAATTTAGAACTATATTTAACTTACTGAATATAAATGGAGAGAAAATATATTCAGAAATTAAAACTGTTTAACAATGTGTTTCAAGTGTTTGAAATATTTGTAACTCACTTTAAATGTAATATTGCTGATTTCTTTGCCTTTATCATATTTTTTCTCTTAAAAAAAGCTGTGTAGGTTGTTCTAGAGACAGAATTATTCTATACTTGACAATCTGTTTTTTTTTTTTTTTGGTGGTACGCGGGCCTCTCACTGTTGTGGCCTCTCCCGTTGCGGAGCACAGGCTCCGGACGCGCAGGCTCAGCGGCCGTGGCTCACGGGCGTAGCCGCCCTGCGGCATGTGGGATTTTCCCTGACCGGGGCATGAACCCGTGTACCCTGCATCGGCAGGCGGACTCTCAACCACTGCGCCACTGGGGAAGCCCTGACAATCTGTTTTTGAAAGCTAATATTATTTATAAAGCATTCCCTTGCCGTGGAACATCGTGTGCTGCAAATTAGTACGTAATGAGTAAAATGTCTACTTTCAGAATATAATAAGAGAAGCCACCCTCATAGGCTGCGAACAGACACGCACAGAACCTTATAGAGAGTAGAGTTTGAAGAAGAGGGCTAAATAAGGAAAGCAGAAAAGAGAAGAAGGTGTATATACATATACACTTACGCTGGGAAGAGCTGTAGAGTATTTTACTTTAACTTGCATTTTTATAAAACTGTGATTAAAATCATTTTACCTACTTAACCATTGATATACTGATTCATTAACAGTCATTAATTATTAGCCTATAATAGGCCGGCTCTGCCAGGACACAGATATGAACAGACATTATCTGAGTTCTAGAAAAGCTCAGCCTGGTGGACATTTAGCTTAATTAAGTGAGGTTTAGGTTCCTGGATGTTTCTCTCACAAAAAGTGCAATTATATCCAAGTCTATCTAATAAGAAATTTAATATAAACTTATAAAATAATTACAAGGATTTTACTAGCCTGAAAACATTTTCCATTCTACCTTCCTCAAAGAGAAATAAATTATAATAAAATAATATTCTTTACTGTTTATTTTTGTTCCAAAATGGTTGGTTTGTTTATGAGATTGAAAATAGTAAATTGATTATCTTGGGATGTTACTAAAATTAATGTAGTACATTTAGCTTTTGGTGGTTATATATACTACTGTTTTATTTTATATACCACTGAATAATTTGAAAGTAATGTGCAGTAAAAGAACTCCATCTAAACTACAGCAGAGGGAAATAAAAGCTAAGCTGAGATTTATATTAGAAGACTCAAATGTTTGTTTTGGTAATTTTAGTTTCCAGACAACAGTACGCCTTTGTTAATGTTCTATTGCTAGTTTTTTAAAATGGGCATCAAAATATTAACCTTCTTTCTCAGTGGATTGAAAACCATATAAATTTTTAATATTTTCTCTTTTAAGGGGAAGGGACTGAACATGTAATATGGGCCAGACACTGTGCCTGGCATTTTATATACTGTTTCAGGTAATTCCCATTTACCTATGAGACAAGTATTGTTATCTTTCTTAGAGAACAAAAGTAACTGGCCCAAGGCCACATGGTCACCAGGTGATAAAGTTCACATTTAAATCCTGGTCAAACTCCAAGTCCCATCATCCTTTCATTCTACAGTGTAGCTTTTCAACTTTTAATTTGAGTAAAAGTTTTGTACAGGTATAGTCTATTAATAATTTTTAGCTTACTGGTTTAAAAAATGTGCTTAGGACTTCCCTGGCGGTCCAGTGGTTAAGACTCCATGCTTCCACTGCAGTGGGGGCATGGGTTCAATACCTGGTCAGGGAACTAAGATCCTGCATGCAGTGCGGCGTGGCAAAAAAAAAAAAAAAAGTGCTTATTGTAAATTTTGAACTCTTAATTCACATCTTATAGTAAAGCTAGTCATTGTGATCTTTATTGTAAGCATTCTTTAGTTGGAAAAATGGAATGAATTGACTTGAGAAAATTTACTGAATCAAGTAATTGAGCCATATTTAATAACTAATTTTAATAATTTAGTTAGGGTGTAGATAATTGTCAAACATAATTTTAGCAAATCTGGGAGTGTTCATAACTCAACAGTAGACTTTAATTTTAGAAATTCTTAGTGTAGTGTGAATAATTAAAAACAACCATCTATTATTTCAAAGGGAAATGTTTTTGAAGTCTTTTAGAAGTGTTTATTACTTCTTCAAGAGGGATGGAGCTAAGGGGTGATATACCCTCTAAATTCTCCTCTAATCTCAGATACCATTCATAATGGAATGGAAATTCTTTTCTGAACTTCAGATATTTCTGTGTACTGTCAGCTGATATAAGGTTTTATTAATGATGACTAATTTGGGCTATTCAGAAATTATTGACAGCAAAACTGATGAATGTAGGTTGATGATTAAATTTTTTAATACTCAGATAATCTTTCTTTTAGATGCTATTAATCACATTCTGAGAAAATGAAAAGAAATTTACAGGAATATTATTCTCTTGAGTGATATTTAAGGACTATTTCCGAAGAGTAAAATTTAGAGTGCATAGCTTGAATACAGCACTTTACAAATAGGAATTAAATGTGTCCTTTTACTATAACATTCTTGGGGGAAGTCTTTAATATCTGACTGTTCTCTAACTTGCTATATGTATCTTAATGTAGACACTATTAAAACTTTAATTTCTCAAAGGGCTGACCTACCTAGATTTAAATTCTTATTTCTCCATTTTTGGCTAACTGATGGAAAATTTTTTTTTTTCTTGTTCAGATATAGATGCCCTTGTAGGAGGAGAAGTGGGAGGCCTGGAGTTTGGCAAGTTACCATTTGGTGCTTGTGAAGATCCTATTAGGTGCGAATTTCATTATATCATTTGAATTATGGGACTTTTACTTTTTAAATTATATTGATGTTGATTTTACTGTGTTTTATAATACTGCAGCCTCCTGGAATGAATGTAGTACTGGAAATAGAGACCTACATGTAACAATCTGTCCATCTTTGTGTTTTTCTCTGTAACTTAAGAAGTAAAAGAGGGTTTAAAGTAATACATAAAATGTACAGAATATAATTTGTTGATTATTCCATATAGAAGTGGTTCTTGGTATACTTTGGGGGAAATATTTTAAATATTGAAAAGCACAGACAATATTTTAGAGTTTGGGTGTCAGAAAGACTTTTTTTTTTTTTTTGGCACGTGGGCTCAGTAGTTGTGGCTCTCAGGCTCTAGAGCACAGGCTCAGTAGTTGTGGCACACGGGCTTAGTTGCTCCGCAGCATGTGGGATCCTCCCGGACCAGGGCTCGAACCCATGTCCCCTGCATTGGCAGGCAGACTCCCAACCACTGGGCCACCAGGGAAGTCCCCAGACAATATTTTATATAACAAACTTTCATATGTCCATGACCCAGAATTAACAGTTGTTTTCATTTTTCGTGGCCACTTCTTCAAAATACAGAAATTAAGACATAAGTAAGAGACACAAGTGTGACCTTATAGGTTACCCAGTTGCTTTTCTAGAAGAACTACTGAACTTAAAAAAAAATTGTTTCACAAGAAAATGCAGGGGTTGAAAAATTTAATCACTGATAGCAAAATATTTGGAAAATATAAATGGTGCAGATATAAAAACTGTCTCATTTTTTAAACTATTTGGTTATTTAAAAAAATATATTCACATGTATACATATATCTTTAATACTCTCACATAAAGGTAGAAATAATAATACTTTTAACTTAAAAATCATTTAAGGGAGGCAATAAAGTGAGTATCTTTTAAAATTGATATTTATTATATGTGCCTGGCACTATACCAAGTAAGGAAGATACCTAAGTAAATAAAACAGACAGTTTCTGCCTTCTTGGCATTTACAGTCTACTTAAAGGAAGTAGACGAACTAATCACCTAAATAAACATACAATTACAAATTGTGGGATAATTTGAAGGAAAAGTACAGGATGTAATGACAGTAAAATGAGGAACTAGTTTAGATTGATATGCCATCAGTAAAGTTTTCTCAAAGGAAGTGAAATTTATTCTGAGTGTCAATTAGGGGAGGATTTAGCCAGGCAAAGAGTGAGAGAATGACCATTCCAGGTGGAAGGAACAGCATGTGCAAAGTGCCTTGATGCAGGAAAGAGCTTGGCGAGTTTACTGAAGAAAATAGAAGGTGGCTATCATGGCTAGAATGTAGTGAGCAAGGGAGAAAAGGTGTAAGGTGGATTACAGATATATTTGTGGCCCTCCAACTGGTTCATTTATTTGAATTTCACTTAGGGAAAATTTTAGGGGGAGAGAAATAAATTGACCTGGTAGAAATCTGAAGGTTTAAAATGATTAAATATTTCTTCCAAATTTATATCATGATGTGGAGTCAGTCAGCAAAGGAACAAGTGATTGAAGAAGAACACAGAAATAAGTTGAGGATAAGATGGTGTACATTGGCAGACCATTTAAATCAAACAGTGATTAGCAAATGTTGTGGGCACTATGCTTTGAAAAGGCATCTTTGGTAGTGGAAGAGGAAATGAAGAGGCTTTTTCCGGTGTCTTCTCTCCTTGTCAAAGAAATTGTTCTATAGTTAGAGGGAGAGGCGAGGCCATAGTCATAAAAACTTAGGAACTGAATCTGCGGTTCATACCTAAAAATATTCAGGAGTGTATAGTTTTAAACCTCTAACCATTCATGTCCTCTGATATCACATACTGTTTGTGGTCATTTTTTTTACATTAAAAAGTAGTTTTATTTAAAGTAATAAATTCACGTTCAGTGGAAAAAATTTAGATAACGTTAAAAAAGGCAAAAATCATATGTTTAGTAGTCAGATTGTTTAGTTGCAAATGGTACTCGTCAACTCTAATTCAAGCAAATAATCAGTTTATTGGAAACGTATTTGGTAACTCAAACTCAGAAGTTTAATTGGGTCCATTGTAGAACTGGGCTCAGAAAATAGGCTTGAGCCAGTGGTGCCTAGTTGTCCGGTTCATAACCAAGGTTACACTGCATTGTTGTGTAGTGCTGGCCCTGCTCTCACAGTGAATTCCTAACTGTACTTGTAGATTCAGTGTCTCAGACAGGAGTTGCTAGTTAGTCGAGCATCACCAAATATCAGAGAAGTGAAATAATTGGCTCTTTTGGCTTCTGTATTCTACAAACATAAGAAGTGAGTTCAGAATCTAGACAGGAAAAAAACAATCAGTAAATTCATAACCCCCCTAGTCATAGGTGATCACTGACAACAGCTTGTTATATGTGCTTCCAGTATTTTTCATATGCATGAAGTAGGTATATATATGTACATGTTTATGTATATATATGCAACAAGGGCTCCCAACACCACCCTTAGGTTGATTTGCTAGGAAGACTCACAGGACGCAACCATAGTTGTGCTCATGCCTATGATTTATTACAGCAAAAGGATACAATGCAAAAAATGGCAGAGGGAAAAGGCACATAGGGTGAGGTCCAGAGAAAACCAAGGACAAGCTTCCTCTCCCAGTGTAGTCACACAGGACACGTTTAATCCTCCCAGCAATGAACTGTGACATGTATGAAAGGCTGTGTACCAGGGAAGCTCATTAGAGGCTCAACACTTGGGGTTTTTAATCAGAGACTGGTCATGTAGGCACCCTCTGCCTAGCATGTACCAGAAGGAAACCAGATGTTTGCATAAACTGTATTGTTTGCACAGGTAATTTAGGCAGAGTGAACCATTCTTATCAGGGAAAGGTAGGAATCCTCCTGAAATTCAAGTTTCCAGATGTCAAGCCAGGGGCCAACCTTGCAAGTAGGCCTTTCTAAGTATCAGGCCTGCTATGATAACTCTTTTCTGCACAGTATTTTTGTACATTTTATAAATGTTTGTCATCTTGTACATTTTTTGTGGCTTGTTTTTGATTTTATAATTTCACATGAAAACTTTCTGAAATTTAATATTCATCTATAATAAGAGGTCAGCAAACTATGACTGGTGGACCAAATCTGGCCAATAGCCTGTTTTTGTATAGGTAATGAGCTAAAAATGCTTTATACATTTTTAAGGGTTTTAAAAGAAAAAAAAACAAGAATATAACAGAAACTACATGGTCCATAAAAAGCCCCAAATACTTTCTGGTCCTTTGTAGAAAAAGTATGCCAATCCCCGATCTGTATCATGGTGTTTTCAAAATTGAGATATAATTTATGTACCATAAAATTCACAATTTTAAAGTATACAGTTTAGTGTTTTTAGTGTTTACAGAGTTGTACAGCCATCATCAGTATCTAATTCTGGAACACTTTCATTACCCCCAAAAGAAACCCCTCACCTCTTAACTGTCATCCCCTCCTAGGCTCCTTAGGCCCTCTAGCTCTAGACAAATATTAATCTACTTTTTGCCTGTATGGATTTGACTGTTCTGGACATTTCATATAGATTGGGTTATACCATATATGACCTTTTGTGTCTGGCTTCTTAGCATGTTTTAGAGGTTCATCCACATTTAGCATGAGTCAGTACATCATTGCTTTTTGTGACTGTATAATATGCCATGGTATGCAATACTACCACATTTTATTTATCCATTCATCAGCTGATAGACATTTGGTTTACTTATACTTTTGGCTATTATGTATAGCATAGTTTTTTCTTGCAGACATTAACTTTATATGAATGTGCTACCGTTTGCTAAACTGGGTGTTTACAGTTTTATTGTATTATAAATAATGACCACTTTTAACATATATGTACATCTCTGGTTATTTACTGAAGATACAATTCTAGAAGTAGAATTGTTGAGTCAGGATGTATATATACAGTATTAAAGCTTATGGACATATTCTACGTTTTGTTTATTTTAGTGAACTCCACTTAGCAACTACATGGCCTCACCTGACTGAAGGTATCATTGTGGATAATGATGTTTATTCGTAAGTATGTTAAGAGTAGTACTTAGAGGTTCACAAACTTCAGTAGAATAAATTAACTGCCAAGTGGTTAGCAATTTTTCTTTGTATCAGTTTCTGATACAGTTGGTTGTTGTTTTTCTGTTTTTAAAGATCACTTTTTAGACTGATTGATATGTATTATAGATGTGTTTTAAGCTGTGGGCTTTGGAGATAGGGTCCTTAGTTCTGGGAAAATGAGCAATCTGAATCTTACTTGGTTTTAGCAAAGGTGTTTTTAAGCAGTTTGGGATTCAATGCATAATTCTGTTGAACTTTTCTTAGCTGGTAAGAAGCATTTGATAAAGGACTTTGAAGAGATGATGGTTATCAAAATATGTGGGAATAATATTTCATCATTAAATGTCAAATAACAGAACATCCATGTCATATACTCCTGGGCAATACAAAATTGCACAGGAAAAAATTGAAAATTACAGCGAGCACTATCCTGGAAGAACATGGAGAAGGAGGAACATAATTTTAGTACAGTCTCATGGTTGATGCAGAACAGTGAGAAATAGATGACTTTTTTTTAATAATTAAAATAAATGTGTTGTATTTTCTGACAGTAAAAGTAACATGAACTTTTAAAATCAGATGATTTAGATGAATAAATTAAAAGAAGAAAATAGGGCTTCCCTGGTGGCGCAGTGGTTGAGAGTCCGCCTGCTGATGCAGGGGACACGGGTTCGTGCCCCGGTCCGGGAAGATCTGACATGCCGCGGAGCGGCTGGGCCCGTGAGCCATGGCCGCTGAGCCTGCGCGTCTGGAGCCTGTGCTCCGCAACGGGAGAGGCCACAACAGTGAGAGGCCCGTATACCGCAAAAAAAAAAAAAAAAAAGAAGAAGAAGAAAGTAAAGACTACCTACAATTCCATTACTTAAAAAATAACCAGTTAGCATTTTGGGGGTATATCTTTTTAAGGTATAAATTTATATATTAATTTGCTTCATTCATATAATACCTTTATTCATTTAATAAATGTAGATCTGTGTTGTCACTTTTTAAATTGCTGCATAGTATTCCGTTAAGTGAATGCACCATAATCTGATGAACTGAGAAAATGGGGCACTTTTGATCTTGTGGAAATTTTTATAGTTTCTTTTTTTATTAATAAATAATGTAACAAAAAGCAGATTAAAATTATTATGGATTCTTGCTTGTTTCTCATTTCATTTTCTTTATTCCTAAAATGTAATTCTCATTAGATTATCATTGTATGTTGCCTGTCAGGATCATTCTTATGTTTTTTGATTAGTTTGTTTTGTTTTTCCTTTTGTGCTTTTTTTGTCTATGAACTTTGATGTCTTAAGGTTTTATTTTTTTTAACTTATCTAAATGGTCTGCATATGAATAACAGTAAGTTTAAGGGAGGCAAAATGGATTGCTTGTCCTTCTGTATAATGTTTTTATTAGACTGCATTTTGGTAAATGTATAAGTCTTGCAGATTGCCATAAATAGGATCTTGTGTTTATTGTTTTGCCTTTTAGTGATTTGGATCCTATTCAGGCTCCCCATTGGTCTGTTAGAGTTCGAAAAGCTGATAATCCTCAGTGTTTGCTAGGTAAGATATTTATGTTCCTTTCCTGAAATAACACAAATCTGTCTCTCCTCCAGATCAGGAACACTGAATGTATTCTTTATGCTTTATTTCACCTATCCAAAAAGTATTTTTTATTTTTATTGTTTTACATTGTGACCTCCTCGGTTAACTCCATTAAAAAGAAATCTTTGTCAACAGCAGTGAATCCTTCTAGTTACTCTTGAATAGTACTAGCAGACTTGCTTTCTTGTCATTTGGGTTTTTTTTTTTTTTTTTTTCCAGTACGCGGGCCTCTCACTGTTGTGGCCTCTCCCACTGCGGAGCACAGGCTCCGGATGCGCAGGCTCAGTGGCCATGGCTCCACGGGCCCAGCCACTCCGTGGCATGTGGGATCTTCCCGGACCGGGGCACAAACCCGTGTCCCCTGCATTGGCAGGCGGACTCTCAACCACTGAGCCACCAGGGAAGCCCCAAATCTTTTTTCTGATAGAGGAAAAGAGGTGTTAATAATCTTGTACACATCATAGGGATATCTGAAGAAGTCAGTGGAATAACATAAATAGAAATACTTTAAAAGCTATCCATTGGTATTCAGATCCTATTATTATATCCCATGTCTAGAATTATCTTTCCCTTCCCATTTTTGTAGGTAATACCTCTTTCATGAAATCTTCTGAACCTATCTCCTCTTTCCAGTCTTTTTCTCTTATATTTAGTACACATGAAAATTATTTTCTCCATTTCTGTGTTCATCCATGCCACCTTTATTTTATTTAACCTGATAAATTACAGTTCAACCTAGAAGTTACTGATGACAATATTAGGGCATTTCTCTAAAGCATTTTTTCTTGGGCTCTTTATCATTCATCATGTGCTGTTTATTAAATGCTTATTAGCACTGCCATCTGTGCTAACTATATAATAGTGAACACAAAGATAAGGTAAAATTCCTGCCATCAGTGAATTTGTCTTGGGGTATAGGGAGATAGTAGAGGGTTTATATCAAGAGTTTGAGTTGGATAGACCTTGTTTGAAATCCTAGATCCACCAGTTTGAGCAAGTTTCACAATCTCTTCCAGTGTCAGTCAGATAAAGGTAACAATAGTACATACTTCAGAGTGTTACTAAGAGGATCAAATAAGATCATGTACGTGTGTGTATGTGTATCACATTTAACGCAGTGCCTACTATAATGAGTATTCAATAAATGGTTTCTCTTGTTTAATCATTGATTTACTAAATTATTAAATTTAGTCACTAAATTTCTTCCTAGTTCCTTATTATTCCTCAGCCGCTGACTTTTGTGATAATTACAGAGGACCTTAGAATTAAAAGTATTCTTCTCATTTTAAGCTTCTGCCCCTTAATCTCACCCTGTCTCTTTAACTTTATGTTTATATGACTAGATTATAGGATTATGTAGTCATATACTACAATAAGCTATAGTCATATAGTTTATATGACTAGATTATAGGATTTTCCTACTTGTCTGAAGAACTCCAGAAAATGTTCCAGGTTTATTCAGAACTAGTTGGTGAATTCTCAAACTTGGATATAATTAGTATATTGTATTGTCTAATAATTTTAGTACTGATGGTTCTTGTTAAGATTTAATTTCTTTGTGCAAACGTATCTCATAGAAGCTCTTTAGAAGATATCAAACCTTTTCCCCCTTTCTTATAATGACACAAAGCATATCATTAACATGCAGTTGAAGCTGAAATAACTTCATCCTACATGATTTTTTAATCCTGTAGAAACGTGTCTTTAGAATTTATTTTTATTTTTCTAATGGATTCAGAATTCTAGTAGGGTGGCAGCTAGGGAAAGAAGACCACTACATATATATAGTAATATTCTTGTTACTTGTACAGCTTAATGAGAATAGATACTATTTGTCTTATTCAGGCAAATAGTAACTGCTTAGTATATCAGGTTCAATTATTTTTTCCTTTCATTCTAGAAGTAATTCTAAGGAAAAACTTTTACTATCCTGGACTATGGAGAGAAAGCAAGGCTACCTTTTAAATAGGATTACTTTTTGGATTGGGTATAAAAACTGAATGGTTCTTTTTCTATCATATCTTAGCTAATAGCTTTTGTGAAAAGACATGTACTTTTATTTATAGGACTGATTTCTTTCAGTTACGTTTCAAAAATGAGTAACATTTTTTTCTATGTAGGTGATTTTGTCACTGAGTTTTTTAAAATTTGCCGTCGAAAGGAGTCAACTGATGAGATTCTCGGACGATCCACATTTGAGGAAGAAGGAAGAGGTGACACCTTTCTCTTTTTTTAAAAGTTATTTTCAAATGTTCCAGCAACTTTTCATCTATTTTTCTAATTTGAGTTATGTTGGGGAAGCAAGTTTTGATGAACTAGGCAGCTACCATTTTCTCCAGGCTATATATACATTGTGTGATTAATAAGTTCTTTCCACCAAAAATGTAAGATATTTTGAAAAGAGGTTTATTTTTGAAGTTCCCTGGGCAGAAATTATGTTACACCTTTGTCAATCATGCATCCGTATAAAGCTGAACATGTGTATTAGTAAAAAGTCACTAATGAAAAGAGTGACTAAAATATTCTGTACAGTCATCAGTTTATTCATCACTTTAACCTGCCAAGGTTGGTGATATAATATGTATTCATTTCTATTCTTTTTATAGAAGCTGCTGATATAACTCATGCTTTGTCAAAGTTGACAGAGCCTGCACCGGTTCCAATTCATAAATTATCAGTTTCAAATATGGTACACACTGCAAAGAAGAAAATACGAAAACAGAGAGGTGTAGAAGAATCACCACTGAATAATGATGTCCTCAATACAATTCTCTTGGTAAACTAAATGTAATGTTTTTATATGTCTATATGTACACTCATTTATTCATTATCTATTCAGTCCCATCTATGTGGCAGGCACTGGATGGGGAATATAAAATGAGTAAAACATCGTCTCCACAATGAGTTCCCACTAGTGTAGTGGGAAGAAGGAAAGTAAATAGTAGTTACAGTACCATGTTACATGTGAGAATTCTGGCAAAGGGGCTGTGAGAACACGGCAGAGGGTTCATCTGTCTCTGTCTGAGCAGTGGGGATCAGGGAAAGCTTCATAAAGAGGGACAGAAGGTTTAGAAGCAGAGGAATAGCAGAAGCCTGAGAGAGCATGTTGGACAGTTTGGTGTATGGCAGGGTACTTCCCAGAGGGTGGCCAGGGACGAGGAGAGTAGGAGGTAACCTGCCATGTTGAAGCACTGGGCTTCATCTTAACAGTTTAATGCCATTTTAAGCAGAAGGTTGACATGATCAGAATGGTATTCTCGAAAACTTTCTTTCACAACAGTCCAGAGAAAACTTCATAGCGAGTACTAGAAGGGGCTAGGGTGTCCCCTAGGTATAGGGTGGTGGAACAGGCCTGGCCTAGGAGCCATACACAGGGTTTAATCCTGACTTATGGTATGACTTTGAACAAGCCATTTAACTTCAGTTTCTTCATTTGAAATGAGTCTAATGAAAACCTGTGAGATTGTTGTGAGTACTAAAGGACCTTCTGTTACACTGGCATAAAACAGGCCTTTGCTAGATGATAGCTCCTCTTACTATAATTGTAGTTAAAATCGTACTTCTGGCAATTTGTGCACTGAGACGTTCTTGGGAAAAACCTTCAAGAGTAGTGCAATGAAAAGGATATAGGACTTGAAAACTTGATGTTAATCTTATCCCTGCTGTTTACTTGAGCAAGACTTTTGGCCACATTTTTAGTTTGTATATTTGTAAGATGTGGGCACTGATACGTAGCTCACGTAGTGGTAGGAGAATAGGATACTGTTTGTAAATGTGCTTAGTAGTGGAGGTTGGCACTTGGTAGTTCCTCTCATTTAAAAAAGTCTGTTTAGCATGTTCTGTAATATGTGGCAAAGTATGCATAGTAAAAGGAGTTACAAATCAGCAGTACCACAAAGCACTTGGGAAGAATAGTGATAAAAGGATTGAAAGTAAATTTCTGTAGAGAAGGCCCCTTCTTGAGAATGTATCCTTAGAGATTTTATTCCAATTATATAGCTTTTTACCACTTCTCCACACCCTCTCTCACACACAGACACACAGACACAGACACACATACACACACACACACACACACACTCCCTCACACATGTTAACAGAAATCATGTGGAAAGGATACACTGGTCATTACAGGTTTAGTCTGCTTCCCACTTTCTATGGGTATCTCGTAAGATAAAATTACGGGTCTTTAATATCATACTTGTAGCATTTCATGTATAAAAACCCATGGATGATTCTTCTCTACAGAGCCTCATGAATGTTTGGGTGTTTTAAAATTTTCTTTTATAATTTTGTCTTTTTAATAATAACGTTAAAAAAAACTTAATGACATTGGATGAGCCTGAAATCATAGTGAAGAGATTCTGGTTTTACATTCTGTAAACTGAACAATTCACAGAACCAGGTGGTTACACAGTCAAGAAAAATCTGATTTTAAAATTGACTAGTCACTGAAACAATGTATTTTTGAAGAAAAATAGAAAATGTTTGAGGTATTGTAGAACTAACTGGGCAGTACAGTAAGAGCATTCTCATCATTTTAAAAACAAAACCATTAAAAAGTCAGTGTTTATATGAGTTACAAAAGTCAACAAAATGAGAAATTTCGTTGAAGATGTGATTATTTTCTTTCTTCCTCCCTCCTAAGTTCTTATTCCCTGATGCTGCTTCTGAGAAACCGTTAGATGGGACTTCTTCAACAGACAACAGTAATCCTCCATTAGAGAGTGAAGAATATGTAAGTTAATTAATATTAAAATATTTTATTTTTTTATTTATTAAAAAATTTAAAAAAATATTTGTTTTATTTATTTATTTTTGGCTGCATTGGGTCTTCGCTGCTGCGTGCAGCCTTTCTCTAGTTGTGGCGAGCGGGGACTACTTTTCGTTGCAGTGTGCGGGCTTCTCATTGGGATGGCTTGTCTTGTTGCAGAGCACAGGCTCTAGGTGTGTGGGCTTCTGTAGTTGTGGCACGTGGGCTCAGTAGTTGTGGCTCACAGTCTCTAGAGCGCAGGCCCAGTAGCTGTGGCTCATGGGCTTAGTTGCTCTGCAGCACATGGGATCTTCCGGGACTAGGACTTGAACCGCTGTCCCCTGTATTGGCAGGCGGATTCTTAACCACTGCACCACCAGGGGAGCCCTAAAATATTTTAAATGCATTGAATTTCTAGGGGTTTTGCTATATTTCTAGCAACTGTCATGAAATCTAGTTCACAACAGTGACTACTGTAAACAGTTTTATAGCTCTACATCTGTCATTTAAGCTTTCTTTTCTCAATTTATCAAAGACTTGGATGAGGAAAACGTGAACATTTTCTAGCACTCACTATAAAGCTTTCTCTGTTTTGAAATAGGGATCTTTTTATTTTAAAAATCACCTTAGTAAAACTTGAGTGAAGATGATATCATGGCCTTCATTCAGAGAATGCCCTACTACAGAATATTGGCATAGATATATATTTTGGGTAGAAGAACTTTTCTGGAAACAGTGAAAAAAATAACAAATATATTGTGCATGGTTATAGGATTGCCTTCATTTTACACTTTTCATAAATCATCAAATTTTGCAGCAGATTCTTCTTTGTATTTCAAAACTGGACAGAGAGTGGAAAATTCTTTAATGAAGTAACATGTAAAATGAAGTAGAATTTTCATGTTTTCCTCTTTCAAGTCTTTGATAAATTGAAAAATGAGAGTTTAAATGACAGGTGTGCAGATATATCAAATTGTTAACAATAGTTATTTTGGGGAAGTGATTTCATGAACTGAGGAGGAAAAGTAGGCTTTACATTTTCAGTTTATACAGTTCTGATTTTATGTTTTTGATTTTGACAAGTGGGTACTCATTTGTAATTAAAAGATTTTTATAACAACACATGAAATTTGGAATATATCTTAAAGATTCCACAGAAGAAATTGAAGGCTATAACTTTAGGCTCACTAAACTATAGCTTCACTTTTTGATACTTACAGAGATCTTGAAAACATGGAGCTGCCTAAGAACAATTTAGGCAATAATGTATTAGACATATGATAAAAGCAGGTTTGGTAGGATAGATTAATTTCAGTATTAAAATCTCTACCTACACAGTTTTTGATTATACATGTAAATATGTTGTTAACAAGTTTTGCTTTGTTTCTGTTTTGTTAAATTTAGAATCTCTACAATCAGTTCAAATCTGCACCATCTGATAGTTTAACATACAAATTGGCTTTGTGTCTTTGTATGATCAATTTCTACCATGGAGGACTGAAAGGAGTGGCACATCTCTGGCAGGAGTTTGTTCTTGAAATGCGTTTCAGATGGGAGAACAACTTTCTGATTCCAGGGTAATAATTTCAGTTTCCAGCTTTAGAGATAGGATTTTTGTTTGTTCGCAAATTGACTTTTGACCCATTAATTCTCCTCTTCTAGGAAATCTGCCCTAAGAAAGTGGTAAGAAACTTAGGACACGATTTCTGTTCAGAGGTATTCACTGCAGCAAATTTATAATAGGAAAAAAAAGTTAAACAACCTAAATATCAAACATTAAAGAATGGTTAAATAAATCATGATGTGTCTCTATAATGGAAAGTTTTTTTCCCAAGAATCTCTAATAACATGGAAAGTGGTCACAATATTTGTAGTAAAGTAGAATATAGTGTTATGTATACAGAGTGCTTTCAACTATGCTTTCAATTATGCTGATAGAGAATACTGAAAATATATAGAATATATATAGAAATATGTATAGAAAAATAATTGGAAAGAAATACAACCAGATGTTAACAGTAGTTTTCCCAGGTGTGAATTATGTTTTTATTTTGCTCTTTATACATTTGTGTGTACATTTGTGTTCTAAATCTTCTGTCATGAACATACATTTTTATAGTTGGAGGGAAAAAAACATCTTATAGTTCATAAGTTCAGGTATTAGACATTACCTATAATTTTTGGGTATAATTTATATTGACATTTCATTTAAAGAGTTTAGTTAGCATATATGTTGGTACTGCATAGGTTACTGCCCATTTACCTGTGCTACTGAAACTAAGGGAGGAGAGTCATGATATAAGTAATATAAAGTGGTATTTGATCCAAAAATGTTTACTCTTGGGTCATTTGCCAGCCTCTGCTTAGCTGGATTCTCTCTTGGCTGATTACTGGGAACCTAGTGATTTAGCCTAGGGGCAGTCCAGGCTCCCTTTAGCAAAAGGGAGGTGGAGATCAATGGAATTTATATTGAGAATCCACCATGATTGAGAAATGAATATATAATATAATCTCTTTTGTAAGGCATGAAATACTACATGCTAGCTACTTCCTAGGGTGAATTTCTAGGCTTTAAATTTTTTTCAAGTTTCTGTTAGCTTGAGAGCTATCACTAGTTTGCTGTTACTGTTGGTGAATTATGGACTAGGGGGATAAAATAAATTTTGATCTTTTAATTTTATTTGGTCCATCTCAGTTGCCTTATCTATAGAAACCTAGTTTTGATTTATCAATGTGGCTAAAATATAAAAAAAGTATAAAATATGAATATCTGAAGCAATTTTACTAAGCTGTTTTTCCCATTACTTTATTTGATAGATTAGCAAGTGGACCCCCAGATCTAAGATGTTGTTTACTGCATCAGAAACTACAGGTAAAGATTTCCCAGTGACAGTATATAAATGTGGTCTTGGTTCAATCGGAGCTTATTCTGATATTAAATGTGATAATGGATTATAGGCTATTCTCATTGTGGTGCTGTAGGTTACTTAAGTCATTGTCATTCACAACAAGGTCCAGGGAAAGGGTGGAGAATGAAAATAAAATATTCAAGTAGTGGATAGATTTTTATTTTACTGTAACTGTCACTGACGGAACGGCTATTTCCTCAGTCCTTGTCCTCCCCGAGGAAAAACTTCAGTCGAGAGACATAGAGCAGTTTTAAGCAGCAGAAGTTTTATAAAGCGGAAGTACACTCCTGAGAAAGGATGAGAGCGGGCTGTCTGGAAACCAGAAGCCATCCTGCAGTGGGGATAGGGTTGGTTTTCAGGCAGAAAGTCCCTTCGTGTGTCATTTGACTGACAAGTTGATTGACAGCTTTAGGTTACGTAACTTTTCTCCTTGTGTGCAGGCGCTTAACGCATAAGCACCCAAGTGAAGCCTATGGGCGTGTGGGGAAAACTGTAGTGCTCATTTATTACAAATACGGCAAAATGAGCCCTGGGTTACTTTGAATCACCTTTTAGGTCTTGGTGCTCCTGCGCCAACCTATGCTGGTGGGTTTTATCTAGGTTGGTTGTAATAAGGCTGGAAACTTAGCAGTCCTTGACCACAAAAGGGAGGATCTCTGGGCATGTTCTGATCACCGGTGTCCAGGTTGGGGAGAGAAGGATGACCCTGTCCAGAATGGGGCAGGGACCTGCTTATGTCTGACTAACTGCCTGACAATTCAAATATGAATGTTTTTTCAGATGTTAAATTGTTGTATTGAACGAAAGAAGGCACGTGATGAGGGGAGAAAGACAAGTCCTTCAGATAATGTAACTAATACATATTCAGGGGATGCTGGAAAATCTGGAGACCAGCTGGGGCCAGACAATCTAAAAGATATGGATAAGGAAAAGGGAGAGGTGGGAAAATCATGGGATTCTTGGAGTGACAGCGAGGAAGAATTTTTTGAATGCCTAAGTGATACTGAAGAACTTAAGGGAAATGGACAAGAGAGTGGCAAGAAAGGAGGACCTAAGGAGATGGCAAGTTTAAAGCCAGAAGGACGACTCCATCAGCATGGGAAACTTAATCTGCTACATAATGGAGAACCTCTATATATTCCAGTGACCCAGGTAGGACATGGACTGGTTCTTTAAGTTTTATTTTTTGTTGGTTATATAACTTCATCCTAGTAAGAAATAATTGCTTTGGGTAGAGGCAATTCTTTAAACAGTTCTATGTTCAGAGATCTATAAATTTGACTTTTGGGGCTTTTAGGTCTACTATTTGTACAACTGAGAAATGTTTTGAAGTTTCAGTAGATAGTAGCTCATCATGTATAAGGTGATCTATTAGTTCATCTTAAACTTAGTGGTGGGTACTCAGATGTTTAAAAAAACAAAATCCAAAAATATTGGAAGAACAAAAGTAAAAATTCTTTAATTATATAATTAGTTTTTATCTGTTCTAATATGCAGTTTGAATCCATTTATACCATTAGGAAGTAGAATAGCAACAACTCAAAACCTAAGGAAGAGCAATAGTTTTTGTTGGGTTTTTTTGCATAGGTAATAAGTGAATACATTTTATTGTGAAAAACTCAACCTAGAAAAAGTAAAAGCCACCACCCACTAATTCCAATTCTAATCTGTAGAAGTAACCACTATTATTGGTTTGGGTTATAATTTCTTACACCTGTTTCTATGCTTAGATGTATGTATGTGTATGCATATGATACATAGTTTTGTGGATTTTTAAAAATGTGTGCATTGGTGTGTGGTTTTTTAACTTAATGTGTCTTGAAGATCTCTTCATGTTATTACATGTGGATCTACTTCATCTCTTTAACTGCTGTGTAATATTCCATGGCATGGAAGAGTGATAAGCTTATTGAACCATTACCCTCTTAATGTACAATGTTATTTGCAGCTTATTGCTATTACAGTGCTACAGTAATGTAGCAGATTCTTGTAGTTTTTCATATATTATCTGTTCACATATGAGTGTTTCTCTAAGGAAGAAATGAGAAATGGAATTTCTAGAAAATCATATATATAAGCTATAAAATTCCTCTTCAAAAGGGCTGCACCTATTTTATACCCTGTCATTGATGAATATAGGAGTAAGGGAATAACATTCTCTCCCCAACTTCCCTTTTACACTTTCTTCCTCCATAAATATGTATTGAGTGTCTAATATATGCCAACCACTGTCCTAGGCCTTAGGATTTTAGTAGCAAACTATATAGTAAGGTTCTTGCACTCACGTTACTTGTATTCATATTTAATTTAATTTTTTTAATTGACATTACCAGTCAAAAAAATTTTTGCCAATACGATGGGCAAAAGTGGTATCTCAGTGTTCTAGATTGTAGTTCCCTGATTTTTGATGAACCTAAGTATCTTTTAATATGTTTATGCCATCCTTTCCTGTGAATTGCATTCCATTTTTCTTTTAGGTTGCTGTCCTATTCTTATTGATTTATATGAGTCCTTCATATATTAGATATAAATCCTCTGTTATATACATTGTGTATGTTTTCTCCTAGTTATTTTTAAAACATTTGTTTACTTATCTATTGAGTTAATTATAACTAAATAAAGTGCACAAATCTTAAGTGTACAGCTTGGTGAGTTTTTTCATATTTAAAAACCCATGTAAAACTAATAGAATGTTATATGTCAATTATATCTCAATAAAAAAATTAACTCAGAAAAATAAAAAATATAAAAATAAAAACTCATGTAACTACCACCCATATCAAGATATAGAAAATTCTCAATATCCTAGAACAGCAATAATCAGTAGAACTTTCTGTGAAGATGGACACGTATATTTTCTGTGTTCTCTAGTACTATAGCCATTATCTGTATGTAGCTATTGAGTGCTTGAAATGTGGCTAGTGCAACTAAGGAACTGAATTTTTAATTTAATCTTTTAAAATTTAAATAGGCAGATGTATTGAGTACTCCCCTCCAGGTAATTCTGTTTTCTAACTTAGCATAGGTTAGTTTTGTCAATTTTTGGATATCATAAATGTAATCATACTTTGCTTGCTCTTTTGTATATGAATGGAATTATGTACTCTTGTGTTGTGCTTTTTTATTTAACAACCGTCTGTGAGATTCATCTATGTCATTATATGAATCAGTATTTATGCATATTGTATTACTTTATAGTATTCTGTTATATGAATGTGCCACTCAATTCTTATATTGCTTATCCATTCACCTGCTGATGCAATTTGAGTTGTTTACAGTTTGAGCTATTATAAACAAATGAAAATTCTTATGTGTCTTTTGGTGAACATACTCATTTTCTTTTGGATATATTCTTTTTTTTTTTTTTTTAATTTTATTTATTTATTTATTTTTGCTGTGTTGGGTCTTCGTTTCTGTGTGCGGGCTTTCTCTAGTTGCGGGGGCCATTCTTTATCGCGGTGCGGAGGCCTCTCACTATCGCGGCCTCTCTAGTTGCGGAGCACAGGCTCCAAACGCGCAGGCTCAGTAGTTGTGGCTCATGGGCCTAGTTGCTCCGCAGCATGTGGGATCTTCCCAGACCAGGGCTCGAACCCGTGTCCCCTGCATTAGCAGGCAGATTCTCAACCACTGCGCCACCAGGGAAGCCCTGGATATATTCTTAAGAGTAGAATTGTTGGGCCCTGTGGTAGCAATATGTTTGAGCTTTAGTAGATATTGCTAAACAGTCTCCCAAAGTGGTTGAACTAATTTACATTCCCTCCAACAATGCATAATAATTGTGGTTTATTCCACATAATCTCTTACATTTGGTGTGTCAGGGGTCCCAACACCACTCCCAGGTTTGGTGATTTGCTTGGAGGACTCACAGGACTCAGTATATAGTCATGCTCACAGCTGTAACTTAATAGAGCAAAGGGACACAAAGTGAAAGGAAATGGCACATGGGACAAAGTTCAGAGGATATCAAGCACAAGCTTCCAAGAGTCTCCTCGCAGTAGTCACACAAGATGCACTTAACTCCACAACTGATCGTGACCACATGTGAAATGTTATCTACTAGGGAAACTTGTCAGAGGCTCAGTGCTCAGGGTTTTTTTTTTACTGGGGCCTGGTCACAAAGCACCCTCTGCCTAGCATGTGCCAAAATTCCAGACTCCCAGAAGGAAAGCAGGTATTCAGCATAAACCATATTGTTTGCACAAAGAGTTTACACATAGTGAACCATTTTTATCAGTTTGGAGTGTGGTGCGACTCTGCCAGGATCCAGGTTCCCAGAAGCCAGCTGAGGGCCAACTTTGCAAACAGGCCTTTCTGAAGATAATAGTCTAAGGCCTGCTATGTTAACTCTTCTCTGCACACTTGATAATTTCAATCATTTTAATTTTTGCCTTTCTGAGGGGTATGTAGTAGTATCTCATGTTTTCACATTTCCCTGATGAATAATGACACTGAACACATTTTCATATATTTATTGCCCACTTGGATATTTTCTTGGTCAAGTGCCTGTTCAAGACCTTTACCTATTTTTTCAAAATTAGTCGTCTTTTTCCCTATTGCTTTGTAGGAATTCTTCATATATTCTGGATATGAGTTCTGAGGTATATATATCTGTATCTGTCTGTCTGTCTATCTATAACAAATAATTTCTCCTAGTTGGTGGCTTGCCTGTTCACTTTCTTAATGATGCCTTTTGTTGAATAGGCATTTTTAATTTTAATAAGGTCTGATCTACCAATATTTTTCTTATGTGGATACTGCTTTTGTCTCCTGTTAAGAAATTAACTACCCCAAGGTCCTGGAGATACTCTCTTGTGTTTTCTTCTGGAAGCTTTATGGTTTTACCTATCACATTTATGTTTTTGATCCACCTCAAATTGACTGTTTGGTGTGTGGAAGAGATTAAGATTCTCTTTTTTCTGTAAGGGTGTACAGTTGTGTTCCAACACCATTATTCAGAAGACCTGCCTTTTCCCACGGAGTGGCAGTGACATCTTTGTTGTAAATCAAGTGATTGTATGTGTGTTGGTCTCTTTCTGGACTATTTATTCTGTTAGTCTCTTTGTTTATCCTTGTGCCAGTAATGTACTGTCCTTATTACTATAGTTTTATAAAAATCTTTCTATCTTGTAGTTTAAATCTTCTAACTTTGTTCTTCAAGATTATCTTGACTCTTCTTTTCCTTTTTATGTAAATTTGGGAAACTGTTTGTCAGTTTCCACACATAAAATAATCCTGCTGGGATTTTAATTCATATTGTATCAAATTAGATTTAGAATTAGCATTGCATTGCATTGGAGAGAATTGATATCTTAACAATATTGAGTCTCGTGACCATGAAATGTCTTTCATTTTATTGAATGTTCCCTTTACTTTCCCTTATCAGTGTTTTTTAGTTTTTAATGTAGAGGTTTTGCATATCTTTTATTAAATTTATGTCAAAATATAATATTTGTAATTTTTCAAATATTGTAAATGGTATTTTTAAATTTCATTTAAAAACATTTTCCCTGATATGTAGAAATAGTTTATTATTGTATATTGACCTTGAATCTAACAACCTTATTACATTCACTTATTGTTTCTAGTATATTTGGAGTTTTCTATACACACAGTCATGTTATCTGTTAATAGACAATTTGAATTTTGATTTTCTGGCCTGTACATTTTTTAATTCTTCTTCATTTCCTATTGTACTGGCTAGGACCTCAGGTACAGTGTTGAACAGTGGACATCCTCCTCTTGTTCCCAGTCTCAGAAGGAAAGCATGTGATAATCTTTGAGTGTATCTGGTGTAGGTATCATTTATCATATGAAGGAAATTTTCTCCTATCCCTAGTTTCTGAGAGTTTTTTTCATGATCAGGTATTGTATTTTATTAAATGTTTGTCTTGCATATTGAGGTAATCATAAGATAATTGTGAGTTCTAAATGAAATAGTGAGTTTTAAATATGATAAGTGAATGATACCATGTCTAGTCCAAAATAAGTACTCAATTTTTGGCTATTCTTTTTTTTTTAAAATTGGAGTAAAATTGCTTTACAATGTTGTGTTAGTTTCTGCTGTACAATGAAGTGAATCAGCTATATGTATACCTATATCCCCTCCCTCTTGGACCTCCCTCCCACCCCTCAACCCATCCCACCCATCTAGGCCATCACAGAGCACCAAGCTGAGCTCCCTGTGCTGTACACCAGGTTCCCACTAGCTAGCTATTTTACACATGGTAGTGTATATATGTCAAACCTAGTCTCCCAATTTTGTCCCACCCTCCCCTTCCCCCCAACCCCCCCGCCGTGTCCACATGGCTGTTCTCTACATCTACGAATAGGTTCATCTGTACTGTTTTTCTAGATTCCACATATATGCGTTAATATATGGTATTTCTGGCTTACTTCACTCTGTATGACAGACTCTAGGCTATTATTCTTTTTTTTTTTAGGCTATTATTCTTTTGAGGACTTTTTCTTATATAAGACCTAAGAGGCTAGTATCGCTTCTCAGGCTGCAAGGATTGACTTAAAGGTTTTTTAACCAGTTTTCATATTTTGAGATGGGTTGATCAGTTGTAATAATTGTGCAGTGGGATGTTGGGATGATTGCTTGATAATTTTAAACATGGATTCTCTTTTTTTCCCATGCTTACATTGTTTCTTTGCCAGGTGGCTGTCATTTATGACATTAGTTTTGTTTGTTTGACAGGCCTTATCTTTTTGCTTCTTTATATTATTTTAAAAGTAATTATATTTTAGATACTTCATCACTAACTGTTAGTACTAGGACAGACTATTCTAATGCTAGAAACCAAGTGTATATTTTTTCAAATTTTGTTGGAGTGCATGCAGTTGGTATTGAGGTCTTGTAGCATAGACTGGGATGTTGGAATCTAGCGGAGCTAGATTTGTAGCCTGGCACCACCCTTATTTTTAGCTAGTATTGCTAGTAGAGGCTATGTTTCCTTTCTGAGCCTTGTTTTTCTCTCTTAAAAAAAAGTTTGCATTTTCTAGAATTTTATATAAATTTTATGTAATTACAGTATGGTTTTTGTGTGTGTGAATTCTTTTAGCATAATTATTTTGAGATTCATATATGTGGTTGTGTGTATCAGTAGTTCATTCATTTTTATTGCTTAGTAGTGTTCCTCAGCATGGATATAGCACAGTTCATCTATTCACTTTTTGATAGACTTTCCAAAAATGGGCATAAGGAAGCTTTTTATCTTGATTGTAGTGACTGCTTCATGGGTATGTAGTTAACAAATGTACCCTTTAAATTACTGTATGTTGATTATACTTCAAAAAATACTGTTTAAAAATTTGTCATATGATCAGTGGTTGACAAGAAGAAAAAAATGAAAGTATTTCTGTCTTGTTCTAATGTATCTTCAGTTTGAAAACCCTGCCTATTTATTTATTTAATAAACAAATATTAAATACTTTAAAAGCCAATAATAGTTTGTATTACTTTGGGTTGTTCAGGGTTAAATTACACATCATATTTAAAGATAATTGGCATGTAAGTGTTCAGTGAAGTTTAATATTTTATGTGCTTTCTTTTTCCAAGTTTTAATTAACAGTACTCCCTATTTTTAATGAACTTGTTGCATATATGTTGGTTTGATTGGGTTAATGAAGAATCAGAGGAAGTTGTTCTGGAAGCTCAAGCTTTATTTTTCTTCAGAATGCTATGTCTTCCTCATTTATTTCAGATGGTTTAGTTTCCACATTCAAATTTGTAATCCAAGTCTGGAATAATTTAAACTTACTTTTCTCTCAACATGCATCTTATGTATTTAGAAATTAATTTTTGTCTTACCTTTAGGTAAATCGGGGCAAATTTTTAATCTGTTTTACTTTCTTCAAAGTTAATCTTACTTGAATTATAACCATTGTATATGTACGTATAGAAAATGTTTGGAATTCAAAATGATCCCAGTTGAAACCATTATAATTTCAGACTTTAGAAATTAGCTTAAAATGTGCTGTTAATCCATTGCCATTTCACCAAAAAGAAAAAGTAAATAATAAGACTGTATATAGGTCCTACTTCTAAGAATTTAAATATACTCCCTTATTCCTTTCATGTAGACTTATGGCTAGGAAAGGCTTAAAAATTTTTCTCAGCATTTTAGAACAGGGGCTAGAAGAGAAATTTGTAGAGAATCTGTTAAAGCAGGAGTTCTTAGGTAGTGGATTAGATCCAAACTAATAGTTCTCAAAGCCAGCGTTAGATAGATGTCCTAGATTCTCCCTTCAGTTTGCCACTTGAGAGTTTGCCACTTCGATGATGTTGGGCAAGATGCTGTCTCTGCATTCGGTTTCACCACATATAAAATGCACTGATGACTTCTCAGTGATTAGCGATGAGATCATGTGTATGAGAAAGCTTTGGGCATATTCAGAAATGGTACATATAAGAATGTGTGGCCCTCATGCTCTTTGCTGCTTGTATTCCTCTTGATCAAGTTTTTCACTTACAGTTGGCCAGAGTTCCCAGGTGGGAGGGGTAGTCAGTATCCTTTCAGTATCTCCTCCCTTCCCTCAGGAGGCTAAAGGACAATGAAAAGGAGTTCCTTTTTAATGGAAATAATGAGGGCCTCTGCTCCTGAGTATACTGCTTCATTGGAGATTCATGTTATTTTTGAATCTGAGGAATTTTGATATCATAGGGAAAGTAGAGTAAAAAACTTAAAATACAGCCTAAGTATTTTGTCTCTAATTGCAAGTGTTTATTGAGCTTGTGCCAGGATCTATTCTTCACAACAGTGAGTCACATAAAGCTGGAGTAATTGCCCAAGGTTATACAGCTGGGATTCAAATACAGGCATGTTGTTTCTAGAGCCCAAACTCTTAACCGGTCTGTCATACTGTCTTACCAATTATTATTCAACCCCAAGTATCAGGGTGAGACTTTGAAAGTGATGCATGTTCATTGTAGAGAAAGCAAAACAAAAGCTCGTATTTCCATAATCCAGAGATAAACTGTTAAAGTAGTTCCTCCCCATTTTTTCCTATATCAAACCATTTCCGTTATTGTACATTCAGATTCTTTCCAGTTTTCACACTGTTATAGATAATACTACAGTGATATTTCTAGAAGTGGAATTCTTGGGTCAGAGGGCATGATCATAAATGCTTGCCATGTATTGATTTCCAGATTGTTGTCTGGGAAGATTTATATTCTCTCCAGCACTGTTTGTAAGTGCCCTTGTAGGTTTGTTTCAAAAATGAGAATGATATAAGAAAAAAGTTACTTTCTTTTGTTTGTTGCTGTGTTTTGAATGCCATACCTTTACCATGCTTCTACTTTATTTCTGACAGATATCTGCAAAAATTATTTATCTCTGTGGAAGTGGTTCTCAACTGGGGAGTGTGTTTTGCCTCCCAGGGGTATTTGGCAAGGTCTGGAAACATTTTTGATTGTCATGAGGTGGAGTGGTACTACAGGCAGTAGTGGGCAGAGGCCAGAGATATGCTGCTAAACATCCTACAATGCATAGAACAGGCACCACGACAGTATCCAGTCTAAACTGTCAGTAGTACTGAGGCTAAGAAAACTTGCTTTTATAGTAAGCTCCTGAAATCTAGAAGGAATCTATTTATTGACAAGACACTTACTTCTGCTAGGTCTTATCCTATTTAGGAATAAAGGAGTTCATGTTTTTCTGGCTTTAACAACAAAGCAGGCAAGATTTGTTTGGTTAGTCTCTGGGTTGTTGAGTTCTTCATATTTCAAATATAAAATCTAATGGAATCAATTCTCAGAGAACTTTCCTAAGCCCCCCTGAACAGTTTTGAAATGTTTTCTGTCTCTCTCTTAATGATTCTACAGTTGTATTTTCCTTTAGATTTGCCTTAGCTGCTGTTTTATTTGGGGTTACCATTAAAATATATAATGTCTCTGATTCCCCAAAGTAAAAAACAACTTCTTGTGGGAATTGGTAATTTGAATGTGTTTGGAACATAAACTCAAAGCTACTCCTCCAACATAAAATATAGTTATTTGGGGTTCAATTCTTTTCAGTTTTCTTCTCTTACTAGGTATAATAAAAACCTTGTTGCAATTAATAATGGCATTCATAAAAATATCTTAGGACTTCATTTCTTTATCATTAATAGGCAGGAAGATGTTCAGTGCATCCAGTTCCTCTCTTAGCTATGGTCAAGGAAACATGAAAATCTTATCTGTTGGCTGGCGGGGCGGGGTGGGGGGCAGTGCACTGACAGTCATACTTATTCTTCTTGTTACTTTTTCATGTAGGTTCCAGAAAACTTGCAAATTTCTCTGAATTCTTTAAATACATATCTTGTGACTGCTATAGCTGAAATAATTGTTGTCTTTGTTCTATTTTTATAGTTCTGCTTTCTCTAAAAAAAGCTATTCACGAACTTTGTCCTTTTGTGCTTCGCAGGAACCAGCACCTATGACAGAAGATCTGCTAGAAGAGCAGTCGGAGGTTCTAGCTAAATTGGGTACATCGGCAGAAGGGGCTCACCTCCGAGCACGCATGCAGAGTGCCTGTCTGCTCTCAGATATGGAGTCTTTTAAGGTGGGTCACGTTATCAGAGCTCGGGAGTCTATTTTGAGCTATTCTGGGATGAAGCTGTGAAAGTCACTCTGTAAAGTGGTGTAAAGGCCTGCATGTCTTTTTTTTTTATTAAGTGTTTAAATTTCATTCGTAGTTACAACACCCTACCTCCATCCCCTAAAGGTCATAGTCAAACTTGCTTCTTGAGTTTAAAAAAGAAAAGAACAATCTTTTTTAAAAAAATGATTCTATATTTTTAAAATAAATTTATTTTATTTATTTTTGGCTGCATTGGTTGGGTCTTCGTTGCTACACGTGGGCTTTCTCTGGTTGCTGTGAGCGGGGGCTACTCTTTGATGTGGTGCATGGGCTTCTCATTGCGGTGGCTTCTCTTGTGGCAGAGCACGGGCTCTAGGCATGTGGGCTTTAGTAGTTGTGGCGTGCGGGCTCTAGAGTGCAGGCTCAGTAGTTGTGGTGCCCGGGCTTAGTTGCTCTGCAGCATGTGGGATCTTCCCAGACCAGGGCTCAAACCCGTGTCCCCTGCATTGGCAGGCGGATTCTTAACCACTGCATCACCAGGGAAGTCTGAAAAGAATAATCTTTGAATAATGGTTGGAAGTTGAGAACTGAATCATTTCTGTATGAGGATTGGGAAGTTTTCTTCCTTTAGGTATGTTCAGTCAATTTAATGCAAGGTTTTTAGAAATCCTTAGGATTTAACATAGGCTGCTTCATTCAGCAAACCTTTGGTTACCTGCTTTGTGACAGACACTGTGATTAGGTAATTAAGAAGTACAATGTTTATCCTCAGTTACAGTCTATTGAGGTTGTGGGAGGAGATATGTAAATAATTACTGTGTGATGAGTTCTCTTAGGAGAGCAAGGTCAAAAAGGTGACTGACTGTACTGAGTGGAGGTCATGGAAAATTTTTCAGAAGCATCACAGTTTAGGATGAATAGGCATTTGCTACCTGGAGAAGAATATTTTAGGCTTAGATACAGGCCTGTATCTAGAACACAAAGGATTCAGAGAATGGTTACACTTAGCTTATTAATTTAAAAACCAAGTGATGAAGAAAGTCTTTCTGGATCATTTATTTTTGAAAGCAGAGGCAAATCCATGTACATTAAAAAAAAAAAAATGGGTAGCTCAGTGGGCCACAGGGCTTCCTTTTCCTATTATTGATACTCTGAACTGTCTCCCATGCCCAGACTTTCTTCCTTAACCTACTGCTACCTGTGATGGCCTCCATTTTTTCATTCCACAGCTCCTACTCAGTCCTGTTTTTGTGCTAGGTAGGCCAGCCTGAGTTTGATATTTCAACATAAACACCCCGTGAAAACCTATGCTACTTTCATCTTCCCTGCTAGCAGAGAGTGACAATAAAAGGGAGTCTTTTTATTCCCTGCTTGTTTCCCCCATCTTTCCTAAAAGAAGAAATCTTCAGTAAACCTCTCAAGAGCTGCATGTTTTCCATAGAGATTAGAAAGATACAGAAAATCTTTGAGTTCTATTCCGCTGTGAGGCAAGAAAAAGAGATGTGTTTTAAGGCAGATAGTTGGTACAGTGGATAAAGAGAAGCCAATTGGCTCTCAGGGTATGTGTTAAATCAAAAAGTTAGAGGAGGGAATTGGCTTAGGGTGTGTGTGCACAGTAGGAAGTACTGGCCTCCATAGCAGCTATTTTTCTTACCTGACCTTTAGCTGCCTTCATATTCATCTGTCCCTCTTCTACTGCAGTGTCCTTGTAGAAGCATGTACAGGAGGAAATTCCAAATTGGAGCTGTAAAAGCTTTTCCCCATAGAAACCTTTGCTCCTCAAGGTGCTATATAATTCCTTTAACACGGTGCTTCAGCAAAACTGTGGTTCGTTAGACTCTTTTGGACTAACCTGGGTAATGTAAAAATCTCTTCAATAACATTGTTTTAACCAGAAAATAGATTATATGACAAATAACCAACTTACACATCTGCCCATATGTGGGAATCAGATAATATATTTAAGGAAATACGTAGTCATGCTAAAATAGGTATGGTTGCCTTTCCCTTTTTGTATAGGGATGACTTGGTATTGGGGCCATGGGAGAGTCCCCAGAGCTTTGCATAAATGCTGATAGGTACATGAGGCACCTACACTGCACAGTTCCAGAAGGACAGGGCCTGTTCTCGAGCATGCCCTTGGAGTATATACCTGTAAGAGTAGAAAGAAGATCAGCCATAGCTGAAGTGAGTCTTGAGCCTCTCCTAGTAGTGCTGTGTTCTGTCTGGTATAATAAAGACAACCAGAAGGAAGAATTCTGGTGTGAACTGTCTTTCTTTAACCCATTCTGTAGTACAAGAGTTCAGTCTTGTTTTCTTTTTCAGGTTCATTCTCTTCGCTCAAGGCCTATCTCTCTAGTTTCCTGAGATGTTTTCATGAGGGTGTGGTGTTGCCTGGTTAATATCCAGTCTTAGTACATGAATCCTGAATCATGCAGTAATCTTGACCCATTGCAGTTCACAGCAGTTTTTTGTTGCTGTGATGCCATAGCCCTTAGAAGTTTATGTTGTTGGCTGTCAGTTAAGAACCCTCCTAATTTCTCATCCCTTTGGGGATTTCCTAATATTGGTGGGGAAGATTATACTGGCAGCCAGTAAGCTCAATAAGGAGAAGTTGGTAGTTTTGCTCTTCAAATTTAAGACTAACCATTCTCATCATGTTGGTTTTCATTTTGGTGTGAGGTTAATTTAATTTAAAAAGAAAGAAAATGACCATAATGCTTAACACTTTTTAGTAATGCTTACATCACTTACTGTTTCAGGCAATTAAATATAGTACTCATAGCAGGATGAATATGTTGTGGTAGAGAATTATAACCAAAAAGGTATGTGTTTAACATGTGTACACATATCTTTTGAATATTAAGGGGATGATATATATGCCCATCCTTAATACTCTACTAATATATTACTGGGCACTGGCAAAAAGACCTCCATGCCTTACCACTAACACTGTAAAAGCCTCTCCCTTTTTTTTCAGGCTTAAATGTAGAAGTACTTAAAGGATTTTGGCATGCATCATTGTTAATTCTATGGAATTATCCACTAAATAAAACTTTAATTAGTTTGGTTTCAGAAGCCTGAAAAACAGTGATTTTAATTCAAATTCCTTAGTGGCACAAAAGCACATTTTAATTCCAATTCCTTAATGGCACAAAAGCAGTTTATGTAATGGTAACTTGTTATATAAAGCATGAGAATTTGATGGTTGAATAGAACATTTTTGAGGTTAGCTGATATTTATTGCAGTATCAGTATTGACTTATCGAGGAAAAAAGAGCAGAACTTTTCCATCATTGGGTTATTATTCTGATCATATTGTGTATTATTTAATTTACTTGACTTGAGCTTATTGATACTTTTCTAAGTATTGAGTAGTTATTATACTATAATTTTAAATTAACTTATATAACTTATAGTCTGAGATTTATTTTCACTTTACATCAAATTTTTATTTCCAAATTCATCAAATGAAAACGTTTTCTTTTTCTTTAAAATGGGGGCAGCAAAAATAAAGTACTTTTGGTGCTTTAACATCTGATCTGATTTAAAGGTGACATTGTAACTCAAGTCACATACTAGATTTTGTAAAGATTGGTCTTTTTGTGAAAGTGAAAGTATGATTTTTGAAAACAGGTTTATCAATAACTGTTGATTTTTATTTGATTCTGCTGAATTTTTTGTCTGTTTTAGGCAGCTAATCCAGGTTGTTTTCTGGAAGATTTTGTGAGGTGGTACTCACCCCGGGATTACATTGAAGAGGAAGTGATTGATGAAAAGGGCAACATGGTTCTGAAAGGAGAACTGAGCGCCCGAATGAAGATTCCAAGCAATATGTGGGTAGAAGCCTGGGAAACAGCTAAGCCAATTCCCGCTAGAAGGCAAAGGAGACTCTTTGATGATACACGGGAAGCAGAAAAGGTAACTGATGTTTGAGTATACTGCTAATTGTTGTTCTAGTATTTTAAAATCTATGATAGATATGAAAGCTTTGGACATACTTGAGAAGCAAAGCATTGAAATGTAATGAACCTTTTACATATTGAATATTCACATTTAAGATTTTAGAACTGGTTACAGGTAGTCCAAAGGATAAGACATGCATATTTTACATAGAATGTTTACCATTGGACCATCTCACAGCATATGTCAAAAGCCTTAAAAATGATCATGTCTTTTGACTTAGCAGTTCTACTGCCAAAAAAATGTATTAAAGGAATAATGAGAGATACATAAAGATCAGTGTTCAAGAATGATGTTCAAAAAGTTCCATAGTGAAAAAGTAGATACAGCCAACATTTCCAAAAATAAGGCTTTGTTTAATAAATTATGATATATCATTTAGTAGACTACTTTGCAATTATTAAAAAAACATTGGAGTTCTGGAGAATATTGGCAGCCACCTGATATCAAGTTGTCCCACATACCCTTCCACCCACCCAACTCCCAAAAAACCCCATGAAATTAAGTAGAGTACAGAAATCCATGCTGTCAGCATTACTACAGTTAGAGACTACAGTGATCTTTGAATTAACTAAGTAAGTAGAGAAATAAGCCAGATTCCAGTGGATTTCCTACCGTTGTAAGCCTGTGGGTGTAGAGAGTATGGACAGGGAGTCTTAAGAAGAAATGCTGAGGGATACAGAAGACTTAAATGCAGCCCAGTCACTCCAGAAAGACTGCTCCTAACACTAAGTGTCAAAATACTCAACACAGGTAGGGCTTGAGAGTTAACAGCACTGGCTACCGGGAAGTGGCTTGACAGTAAGCAGGACCAGAAGTGGACATTCAGAGAGACTCTGCCTTAGGAAGAACCAGGTAGATAAGTAGGAATGATATACCCCTTAGAGATAAAGCATTGATGGGAACGAAGGAAACAAGGGGAAGATTAAAGATTCTGTAGGAATGAAAGAGAAATAAGACATATCAACCTCCCTCATCTCCCGCCATCCATTAAAGAAATTATGCAGAAGAGGGCACTTTTGAACTGTGACATGACCAATAATAGTAAAGAGCAGACCACATCTATATAAAACTACTATAAAAAACAGAAAGCACAAATTGGATCATTTCAGCTAATAAAAACATTTCCCAGAAAACTGACCACAAAGCAGAAGAAAATTGTAACATAACAGTCCATACTGAGTCAAATATTCTCAAACAAGCATGGGGGATATGAAAAATCATGTTTAATTAGAAATACTAAAAACAAGAGCACAAATGAATCCAAAACCCCACAGAGAAATGAAACTACTGTTGATTTAACTCAGGATAGAAGTATAAGAAAAAGACAACCATATCAAAAACAAAGACTAAATTACATGGCACCCACAGAAGAATAGGTTCATATTTAAATTTAATAAAAGGCATTGAGGAAAAGCAGCAAAACAGCCAAGAGAAAGAAAATGAGATAAAGGAGTAAAGGGACTGGGGAGAAAATAGTAAAAATGAAAGATAGGAAAAGTAGGAATAATACTCATTTTATCAGAGTCCTTGAAGCAGAAAAATCAAAGCACTAGAACAGAACTAATACTTAAAACTGCAATTTAAGAAAAACTTTCTGGTTATGAAAGAAAACCCAAATTTACACATTGAAAGGGCTCACTGGGTACAGGGGAAAGTTGACTAGGAGTAGTGAACTCCAAATTATGTCACTGTAATACTACTAGACCTTAAATATTTAAAAAACAAAAATAAGAAACTCAGACCCTGCAGGCAAAAACATGAAAATAATTTACAAGGGAAAGAGAACGAGAGAGTTGTCAGATTTCTCAACAGCAGGGCAGTGTGGAGCAGTTTTCAAGAAGTATAAGGAAAAAATACACACTAAAGATTTTACATTCCACCAAGATGTCCAGGTAGTGAAGGCTATAAAAAATGTTTTCTCTGAGTTTTTGCCCAAATAACTGTATACATGTGCCCTTCCTGAGGAGTCCACTACAGCTGCCCCAGTCCAATAGAACTTCCTGCAGTGTTCAGAATGGTTATAGCTATGCTGTCCAAAATGGTAGCCCCTGGCCATATGTGGCTTTAATGAGCACTTGAAATGTGGCTTGTATAACATAGGAACTGGATTTCTAAATAGCTGCATTTGGCTAGTGGCTGCCTTATTGAACAATATAGTATAGGAGGATGAACTTAACCAAGAGATGACTAGGGAAATTTTGGCAAAGGGCTTATGGGTGAGCATTTCATTTATTTAATTTTAGAGCTGAGACTAAAACTAGATGGGGACATGGGTAGAAGAAGAATATGTAAAAACTGTATATTAGGGCAAAGTAGAGAGAATGCAGCTATAAAAGTTGGGATGGAAAAAGAGAGGAGGAGGAAAGTAGAATGAAATCATTGACTGTTACATAGATAATAAGTGGTAAGCAAAGGATACCATTTAAAATTATCAGACCAGTTCATAAAATAGATAAAGATATAAGTGAATTAAGGGCAGCATAAAAGGTATTAATACAAGGTTATATACTAGAATAAAAATATAAACCTTCTTAAGTACAATGGAAAAATTATTCAAAAGCAAAGAACACACACCAAATAGAGTAACACACATAATAAAAATCATATCACATGCAGAGTAATTACAGTATAAGATAGTCATATAAAACCCAACTCTGCTGTCAACAAGGCATTCTGTTATTCTTTTTATGAAGTAACTATAACAATGTACCTAAACCTGTAGCCTTCAGAAAGGCTACAAAGTAAACAATGGACAGATTTACCAGGTAAATGAAAACATTAAGAAAGCAGGAGTTTTAATCCTAATGCCAAACAAAATAGAATTGAAGCAGAAAAGCATTAAATGAGATACACAAGGATGCTTTATAGTCTAAAAGTGATATTTCACAATGAGGATATATAGTTGTTAATGTTTATGTACTAGATAACACAGTAACCATTTGTATAAAACAGAAACCATGGGAGATGCAAAAAGAAATAGATCAAAACACACTAATAACAGGACTTTTAACACACTCAATACAAGACAGGTAAACAAAACTAAGAAAAGATCTAAACAAGATAATAAGGTTGATCTTTTAGATGTATCTCAAACACTATACCTTGATAATAGAAACTGTACTTTCTTTTCAAGCACACATGGAACATGCACAAAAACTGATAGTAGGGACTTCCCTGGTGGCGCAGTGGTTAAGAATCCACTTGCCAATGCAAGGGACACAGGTTCAAGCCCTGGTCTGGGAAGATACCACATGCCGCGGAGCAACTAAGCCCGTGCGCCACAACTACTGAGCCTGAGCTCTAGAGCCCGCGAGCCACAACTACTGAGCCCGTGGGCCACAACAACTGAAGCCCGCGCACCTAGAGCCCATGCTCCGCTACAAGAGAAGCCACCTCAGTGAGAAGCCTATGTACCACAACAAAGAGTAGCCCCTGCTCACTGCAACTAGAGAAAGCCCGTGCACAGCAACGAAGACCCAATGCAGCCCCCCCAAGAAAGAAAAAGAAATTTATATAAAGAAACAAAAACAAAAAACTGATAGTATGTTAGGGCACAAAGAAAACATCAGTGGGTTTCATAGTGGCAATAAGACCAATACTCTAATCTCTGCAATAAAACTAGTAATTAAAAATTTAAAACCCTAGGCCTTCCAACTGGAAATTTAAACAGCACTTAGGTGAAAGGGGAAATACAAAGAGGAACTATAGAATTCCTGAAAAATAATGATGATGAAAATACTGCCTAACAGAGCCTATAGGATATATTTAAGAAGCGATCAAAGGAAAATCCATAGCCCTAAATACCTACATCAAGAAAAAGCAAAAGAGGTGGTGCAGTGGTTAAGAATCCGCCTGCTGGTGCAGGGGACACGGGTTCAATCTCTGGTCCGGGAAGATCCCACATGCTGCGGAGCAACTAAGTCTGCGCCACAACTACTGAGCCTGCGCTCTAGAGCCCGTGAGCCACAATTACTGAAGCCCGTGCACCTAGAGCCTGTGCTCCGCAACAAGAGAAGCCACCACAATGAGAAGCCTGTACACTGCAACTAGAGAAAGCCCACGCACAGCAACGAAGACCCAATGTAGCCAAAAATAAATAATAAAATAAATTTATTAAAAAAATTATTTAAAAAAGCAAAAGAATGAAAATTATTGGATTAATAAATTCCTAACTCAAAAACCTAGAAAAAGAACAACAAAGTAAAACCAGATGAAAATTAAGGAAGGGCAGTCATAAAGATAAAATGCAGATAACAGTGAGGTAGAGAACAGAAAAACAGATCAAATTAATCTGGTTTAAAAAAAAAATCAAAGTAGATAAGCCGTTAGCTACCTTAATCACAAAAGAAAGGGAAAAAAGCACGCATATGCAAAATAAATGATGAAAAGGGCAAATGACTATTGATTCAGAGGAAGTATTTTTTTAAACATACTGAAAATTTGAAAACTGAGATGAAATGGATGATTTTTTAGGAAAATGCAGTGTACCAAAACTGACCCCAGTAAAGACAAAGTATATATAAACAGACCAGTTTCCAAAGAAGAAATAGAGACAGTTATCAAGGAATAACCCTGTAAAAAAGCACCAGGCCTAGATGGTTTCACAGGGGAATAGAGAGACCATGTAGTTCCACTGCTGCACAAATTGTTTCAATGCACAGTAATTGAAGGAAATTTTCCAGAGTCTTTTTATGAAGTAACTATAACAATGTACCTAAACCTGATAGAGACAGCATACAAAAAAAAAGTTACAGACCAGTAATAAGAAATTGAATGCAAAAATGCTAAGTGAACAGACTCTATTATCACTTTAAGAAAATAACACATGTTGATTGAATGCAAGGGTGATTATTTGGAACTCTATTTATACAGTATAATTGACTGGATTAACAAGTCTAAGAAAATTGTATCATTATGAAGCAGAGGCATAGGAGCTAAAAAGAAAAAAACTTTGC